GACATGGAACTGCTGAAGAACAATGATGAAGGCAGTATCCGCAAGTTCTTGGGCACAGCAACAGAATGCATTTCCATTATCAAAGAAAAGGGTCAATTTGGTAATGAAGTTGACGTTCTATTCGCTCAAATTATATTGCGACGATTCTCTACGGAAGTCCTATAACTTTACGAGCAACATGTAAGAAAGGCCAGAGAAATTCAGTCCTTGGACGATGTACTAGAGTTTATTGAGCAACTGTATAACTCAATAGGCTCAGTGCAAAAAAACGCCGCCCATGAGTCAAGGGAAGCAAAGACAACGAGCCACGATAGATGCCGTTTTTGCCAATTGACTGGACATGAAATAACCAGGTGTCAGAAATTTAGAGCTGAGCCGGTTAAAAAACGTAAGGAGTTTGTGTTCAAAAACTCGCTTTGCTACAAATGTCTAGGCAGCCACAGTGTTGAAGATTGCAAAAAGAATTGGACTTGCAATCAATGCACCAAAGCACACTACAATGTGCTTCACGAGGAAGCAAATAAAAATGAGACCGTAGGCAGCAACTGTCTAAATGAAAATAAAGGACAAGATACGTTGCTGGCGACAGCGCTCATCCAGATTAAAAATAAGTCTGGAAAATACGAGCAGCTAAGAGCCCTTATAGATGGAGGCTCGCAAAAAATCCTAATATCTGAAGAAGCTGCACAACAGTTAAAACTGCGCCGAACTAAACGGAACGTGGAAGTTCAAGGAATTTCGCAAAATATAGAAATTTTTAAAAATAGTGTTTGCTTAACAATCAAATCACGGTTTAAAAGCAAATTCATCACCACTAAGCAGGCACTTGTTATGCCAAAACTTCAGAGAGCTCTTCCGACCAAGAAAATTGACATGGATGTCAATAAGGATTGGAATGGCTGCGCGCTAGCAGACCCACATTTTAACGAGCGCAGTCGAATTGACGTTGTCATTGGCGTTGATTTACTTCCCTTAATAATGTTGGGAAAAGTAAAGAAAATCAACAAAACTCTAGGACAAAAGACCGAACTTGGATGGATTGTCTCTGGCAATATATCTGGATTATCAACCAACAAGGTAATCAGCGCTTCAACAACGATGTGCCTGGACTTCCCAGAAAACTCTGGGAAGCATCGGAAAATTGGGTTGCTATACAGACGGAGACGCAGGCCACGGATGTGGCCAACGCAGAATGTTCAGGTATGAACATACTGTAGTACATTTAATAACATATTAATAAGACCCGAAGCAATGTAGAGTATTCTACATATAAATGCGTCATATGCCTAACATATGATAGTGTATACTAAATACGCATATAGTGACATTTGTCCCTACGCATAAACATAGGGCGAGAGCAAAGATAAACAATGGGAATATGATCAGCCACTTAGTGTGGTCTGACCAGCAACGTGGGAGGTGCACTTTTTATGCATATAAGTATATGCATATGCATATAAGTATATACAAGCTATATATGTGAAGTTACACAGAGGGAGAGCATAGTATGTCTCCCGCTTGGAGCTCCACTCAACCGCAGAACTCATTACATTATGTAAATGTAATAATAGGCTAAGAGATGAAATACGCATGAGCCAGGGTATAAGAACTCTTGCTCAGACGAATAAAGATCATTACACAACTGAACACCACCACAGTTATGTGTATTCACACATTGAAATTGGAATATATATTCGTGCCTAATCCCGAGTCTGATACCCTAGTCTGATAATGTGATAAGATGTTTCCGATACGCGCACTAGAGATGTCCCAAATAGGAACAAGGTAAGTGGAGTATGTCAGAAACGCTATTATTTTAAATGCTAGAGAATCGAAATTTAAAAGATCCAAATTGGAGTCGTGGAAAACTTGGTAAGAACGTAGCTTCCACAATTTAAAAGCTAGAACATAAAAATTGGCATTGGTAAGATCCTCTATAGATTAGATCCTCTATAGATCTAAATTGTTGTCTTTGCCCAGTAGGAGGGTGGCAAATTAAATTTAACTATATAAATTATATATCTTCGGCCATAGGGGGCATGGCAAACCGCAAAAGTCTATATATTTATCTACTGAACTATCAACTTTAAAATTGGATTATTGAGATATTTCATTTTTCATATTTCATATTTCATTTGGAATCAAACCCCCAAAAGCTTACAGTTTACAGTTACGTTAAAGTAGACTCCTTATGATTGGGAAAAAATAATATGCCACCGCCTATTGGGCATGGTAAATCGGGAAATCTGTATATTCTATAGCTTACCGTTAAAAACTGAAAATTTAACAACTAAATTATAGTTGACATACCTAAGTTTAAATTTATAAACGCTTTGAGGGCGTGGCAAACCGGTAAAAATATCTTCCAAAGTTTTGCAGCTGCCACCGCTTAGAATATAAATGAGTATTATACAGTCGGGTTTACGTGACTGCACTGTTCTTACTTGTTTTAGTTTTTTATTTTGCTAACTCTGTATTTCTTTACAAGCGAGCAAAAATTTTAACAGAAATAATAAAAATGTAATCCTTTTTTTCAGTAGACTCTCTATATAAATCATTGTCTTCACTTTCTGAATAGTAACATTGATGAGGTATTCAGTATGCACCAAATGTTTGAGCTAATATATATTGTGTTGCACTAATCGACTCTCCTGTGAACATCTCTTTTTACACCCTGATCCCATTGAAAATGGGAAATCAAGGTATAATGGTTTTATGCAAATGTATGTAAAGTATGTATATATTCTTGATCTGTCCGTATGTGTGAACGCGTCGATCTCAGCTTCTATAAGAGCTAGAGACTGAAATTTTTTTTAGGTCCGTGTTTATCATGCGCATATCGAGTTTGTTTCAAATATTCGATAACTATTCGCATTTAATTGTTATCGAATAAAAACATGACTGAAATGCAGTTAATAAATTATATCTCGGACGTCTTAAGAGCTAGAGCCTCCAAATTTGAATTTATATTTAGTTTTATGTATATTTTATGCAATTTTGATTTTTGTTGGATCTTAGATACAGGCTATAAATTTCCCCAAATTCTTCAAATTTTAATTTAGTTGGAACTAGGGCCATTATGTGAAGGCGTTTGCATCTCAACCAAGCTGTTACTTAACTTCAAATTTGCAATGTCTTACATAAGTAGTGCAGTGGCTGCGTTGGTAGAGACGGCGTCCGTTAGCGGTTGGTCTTGGCTTCAAGCCTCGCGGCGATGGGACGTTTTCTATTGTTTTTTTATTTTTTTTAATTATCAAGTGGCGGTGTTGGTAGAGTTGGTGCACGTTGCGCAAACAGTCCGGGATCGAATCCTGGTCTCGTAATGTCGTTTTTTATTTGTTTTTTTTTTTTTTTTGAATACTTGATACAAACTACGGAAAATATTAATAAACGCAGATAGGACTGGGATCAGGGTATCTCCTAGTCGGGCACCCCGACTAGAGATTTCTTACTTGTTATTTAAGATTCTTTTCTTAAAAAAAAACTTCTCTCTTACAATTTCTGAGGTTTTTAATTGAGGTATATAACTAAATTAGTTGGCCCCATATCTAATGGTTTTGTATATTACTGATGGTCATAAATTTCTCGATGCTCTCTCAAAATTCCACTGAAAATTTTCAACATTTATTGTTGCACATACATATATTCAAACATTCATTCACACACTCAGGCAATTAAACATTTACATAGAAATTAACAACAAAGTTGTTACACAATTCTCGCTGCGGTCAAGAACCGCAGCAACAGCCTAAGAATCCAGTCGTCGCCGGATACAGACAATGTTGCGACAGTCGTCAGCAGCGCTGCCGCCCTTAACTCAGAATTTAGCACGTAAATATAAAAACCCCATGATGTTTTATTTTAACTTACATATGTACATATATACACACGTTCCTACATACAGTCATTCATTCATTCATTCATTCATACGTTCACAGTCATACACTCATACATTTATTCATTCACACATTCCTACATTCATGAATATTCAATCAATCACATATTCAGATATTATGCATTCACGCATATATATATATATGTACATCCATATATTAATACAAGAAATACATTCATACAATCATATATCCATACATTAATACGTTCAAATATACATACATTCATACATACATATAGTTGCGATTTAACTGTTCTTAAAGACTAAATCATCGAAACAAACATAAATGTCTAAGACCTCAATTCTGGGTACATAAATTAAATATATAGGAAATATATATATATATATATATATATATATATATATATATATATATATATATATATATATATATATATATATATATATATATATATATATATATATATATATATATATATATATATATATACACGCTTGCTGGATCAATTGGCAAATAACTAAATCATTAGTAGATTTTTTCTTAGAATACAGCTAAGTACAGTGTGTATTATGTTACAATGGATCAATTTTAAAGACGGAGTTAATGGAAAGCCGTAACTATAAATATATCCATACGTTCATACATTCATACAATTAATACATTTATTCATACATCTATACATACTCACATAAATGCATACATGCATACAAACGTACATATCTACATATATGTATATATATTCATACATACATATATATATATATGTATACATTCATTCATTCAAAGACAGAGTAGAGAATAAAGAATAGATGATTATATTTATTTTTGTCTAAAGATATCATATTGATGACATATCGTAAGATCAGATCAGTTTCATTATAATAATTGCAATTAGTCGACTCAGATAGTCCTAAATCTAATTTACTTGAAAGTAAGTCAACAAATTGTTGTCTTCGTAATTATAATTATTAACTTACAGAAATCTGAACTCAAGCTTGAAAAAAACAATAAATAAATCGTTTAAAATATATGTATATTGTACGTGTTAACCAATGCGGTATTCTCAGAACTTGACATAAATGTATATACATGTATGTTAAGTATAAACATCTTAAACTTAAATATGATGTTAACAGTGTTCGGTACATGTGTTAATACTATATATGAATGTACTACTGAAAATTAAAACAGAACAAAGATTTAATAGATATTCATAAATTAAATGTGTACGGAATTGTTACATGATATGTGGGCTAATTGCTGGCCGGGCAGTCGTCAGGAAAGTGGTTCTGGTTGCCAGGCAATTGCGCACTCACGTTACTAACGTAAACAAAAATTGAAACCAAAAGGAGAGCCACAACAAATAAGTGGAAAAATATCCATAATTTAGCAGGAGTCGTCGTGTACTCAATTGAAATTGTGTAAAGTCAATAGAATGTCGTTCAAGGATGTGCACGGTGAGTGGTTTCCCAGTGACTGTAATTGCGCCTGTCATTTTGCCCTTACCTTTGCTACTCTCGTGTTTCAGATCTCAGCGAGCATCTCAAGTTGCTGGGTTTTCCGCGACTCTTTCCGCTCCAAGCGCTAGCTACTCAGCACGGCAGCCTGGCCAACTTTCACATTGTGGCCGAGCTGCTGCAGTGGCTGGCCAGGCTGCTAGAGCCTGGCGCTTTACTGGCTGGCAGTGTCCAGACGGAAGAACAGCGTGTTCTGCTCATACGTGCAGCTAGCGAATTCTTTCTAACTAAGTCAGGCATAAGGCTGAATCCGCGCAAACTCTATGCCGCAGCGGCCGTCAGTGCCACGGAGCTACAGAAGATAACACGCCTGCTGATTACGCCCGCTCAGACGGAAGAAGAGAGCGAGGACCAGGATGAGGACCGACAGCAATATTATAGTCTCAATCAAGTAGATATTGGCGACAAGATGGATGAGTTGCGCCGTGCTCGTGAGCTATCCTCCAATCTAACACAGGGCGGCGCTGGGCTCTATGATCTGCTATCCAAGGAGCTGGGTAACAAGAAAGTGCAATCGCCCAAACGCCCCAACCAATGGAGCTGATCAGCGTTGAGCGCACCATGAAGAACGCTATCCAGGTAAGCCAGCTGAAGCTACAGTCCAGTCGGGCCCATCTAGAGAATGCACGCATCGAACTCAATGCATTCACCTCCAAACTGCTGCGCAAGCGTGCAGAGCTGGACCGCACCAAGCAACGGTTGGAAGCACTCCAGAAGATTCGTCCCGCTCACATGGCAGAGTTCGAGGAGTGCGAGAAGGAGCTGCAGCAATTGTTTCAGCGCTATTTTCTGCGATTTCATATCCGTGAAGCGCTACGTAATCAGCTAGAGGCGCGTACAAAGCGGCGTGTCACGCCTATCTATCTATTGCCACTGCTGCAGAAGCCTGCCGAGAACTCGATGCCATTTATACCAGAGGGCCTGATCGAGGACGAGGACGATGACGATGATGGCGACGATGGTGATGGCGACGGACAGATGTGTAATGAATTGCCACGCGAGAGGTCCTTCGGCCTGGACTCAGAAATACCCGACATACGCGATGAGGATCTATTGGTACAGCGCAGCAGAGCAGCCAAGGGTGGTTTAACAGCGGCAGCACTCAGCCAGCGACCCTGCACGACCACCACTCGCACCCGTCCCACCACAGGCCGCAGTCGTCGAACGATAGCAACGGCATCTGCATCTAGCTCCAGCGGCGCACGAACCACACACATCGAACGAAATGCGCCAAGCAGCAGCATGCTCAATCGCCGCACGGATAACGACAGCAGTTTTGGCAGCTCCGACAGCGAACTGGACATGGGTGATATTATTGGCAGGTTCGCCGGCACAGGCGATGATGATTGTAAGTATAAGCTTAAAGCGCATATCCACAAACATCAATTGATATCCTTTGCTACTCCCTGTTCATTACTTTCGGGTCTTCCCCCAGTCGATCTGAACTCCATCGATGACATTAGCATATCGAAGCTAACCGGCGAGCTGCCGCTGCGCCCCAAAACGTCGAGCAAGACAGAGCACCACAGCGACGAGGACTTTTAGCCAAACGAGCATATGAAGTGATGTAAAAGTCGATGTACCATTGCATGAATTATTGATATACCAGTTATAAAGTAATTATATGCCATTTACGTACAAATATATCATTAATGTAGCATTGTTGTAGCTTTGATGCCCATTGATGTAAGAATAATGCAAAATTGATGTAGTAATGAAGCATAAATATCCCATTTATGTAATCTTTATCTAATACAAATTGTTTACTATGTAAATGCCATTAATACTATTACTATTGATTCACCATTAATGTGTAATTGATGTATTCATGTAATATTGATATATATACAAACACGCATGCCATATATATATATATATATATATATATAAGATCTGCCCTACATTTTGAATTGTAATTTTGCAATTCGTAATGTAAAGCGATATTTATTGTCAATTAAACTACCTTTAGGTTTTGCAGATAGTAACGCCGAGAATCGAGGTGGTAAAATAATTTAAAATAGCTCTATCAACAATCACGCCAATTCTACACAAAAATGAGTTTATTTTGCATACCCCAAAAACAAGCTGGCATTTTTTGAGCCTCGTTAAATGAAAATCTCGACAAATCGAGAATCCGTAAAATAAATGTTAGTCCCGTGTCATTTTGAATTGTCCGGATCTCACTGTGCATAGAATTTGAAAAAAAGGGGTCATGGCAGTTACTTGGAGAAGATATTGCTGAACGTAATTTGGGACTACTCGGGCCTAATTGCTCAATACTACATCACCACATCGCGGCAAACAATCTTTGCTTTACTTGTGGCATGGGAGCCAGCAACTGCTTGCTGTCTGTAGATATCGCTGTGCGGCGAAGACGTGGATGAAGAGTAATCAATGTGGCAGCTTGCTTGCGATTGCTCCTGGCGTGCCAGGAAATTGTCAGCTATCGCACGATCCAGGCCTGTATATTGAAAAGTGACTGCCCCAACCAAAACATCCGGCTCGGACCTCCGGCGTTGGCGGCGAATCCCATCTGTCTTGCCAGCGACACGACACCGACGTCGCTGTCCATTCAACTCCGCTGATTTGGTGCTCTTAGGGGTGCGATAGGTGCCTGTTAAACTGGCCGGATGGGCATAGAGCAGAGATCCCGACTTCATATAGGGCAGCGTCATACGTTTATATTGCGGCGGCAGCACAGCCAGCTGCATGCCACCTCCAACGCAGGATGGTGCGGGAGGCAAGCGTGTTGGAGGGGGCGGCGGTATCTGAAATTTATAAAGTTTAATACTGGATTATGAACAAATATTTATTTGTATGTGTGTATTAGAATATTTATCACTATAAGGACTTACCCCATTACCAGCTGATATGAGTATGATGGACGTCTCGGACGTCTTAAGAGCTAGAGCCTCCAAATTTGAATTTATATTTAGTTTTATGTATATTTTATGCAATTTTGATTTTTATTGGATCTTAGATACAGGCTATAAATTTCCCCAAATTCTTCAAATTTTAATTTAGTTGGAACTAGGGCCATTATGTGAAGGCGTTTGCATCTCAACCAAGCTGTTACTTAACTTCAAATTTGCAATGTCTTACATAAGTAGTGCAGTGGCTGCGTTGGTAGAGACGGCGTCCGTTAGCGGTTGGTCTTGGCTTCAAGCCTCGCGGCGATGGGACGTTTTCTATTGTTTTTTTATTTTTTTTAATTATCAAGTGGCGGTGTTGGTAGAGTTGGTGCACGTTGCGCAAACAGTCCGGGATCGAATCCTGGTCTCGTAATGTCGTTTTTTATTTGTTTTTTTTTTTTTTTGAATACTTGATACAAACTACGGAAAATATTAATAAACGCAGATAGGACTGGGATCAGGGTATCTCCTAGTCGGGCACCCCGACTAGAGATTTCTTACTTGTTATTTAAGATTCTTTTCTTAAAAAAAAACTTCTCTCTTACAATTTCTGAGGTTTTTAATTGAGGTATATAACTAAATTAGTTGGCCCCATATCTAATGGTTTTGTATATTACTGATGGTCATAAATTTCTCGATGCTCTCTCAAAATTCCACTGAAAATTTTCAACATTTATTGTTGCACATACATATATTCAAACATTCATTCACACACTCAGGCAATTAAACATTTACATAGAAATTAACAACAAAGTTGTTACACAATTCTCGCTGCGGTCAAGAACCGCAGCAACAGCCTAAGAATCCAGTCGTCGCCGGATACAGACAATGTTGCGACAGTCGTCAGCAGCGCTGCCGCCCTTAACTCAGAATTTAGCACGTAAATATAAAAACCCCATGATGTTTTATTTTAACTTACATATGTACATATATACACACGTTCCTACATACAGTCATTCATTCATTCATTCATTCATACGTTCACAGTCATACACTCATACATTTATTCATTCACACATTCCTACATTCATGAATATTCAATCAATCACATATTCAGATATTATGCATTCACGCATATATATATATATGTACATCCATATATTAATACAAGAAATACATTCATACAATCATATATCCATACATTAATACGTTCAAATATACATACATTCATACATACATATAGTTGCGATTTAACTGTTCTTAAAGACTAAATCATCGAAACAAACATAAATGTCTAAGACCTCAATTCTGGGTACATAAATTAAATATATAGGAAATATATATATATATATATATATATATATATATATATATATATATATATATATATATATATATATATATATATATATATATATATATATATATATATATATATATATATATATATATATATATATATATACACGCTTGCTGGATCAATTGGCAAATAACTAAATCATTAGTAGATTTTTTCTTAGAATACAGCTAAGTACAGTGTGTATTATGTTACAATGGATAAATTTTAAAGACGGAGTTAATGGAAAGCCGTAACTATAAATATATCCATACGTTCATACATTCATACAATTAATACATTTATTCATACATCTATACATACTCACATAAATGCATACATGCATACAAACGTACATATCTACATATATGTATATATATTCATACATACATATATATATATATGTATACATTCATTCATTCAAAGACAGAGTAGAGAATAAAGAATAGATGATTATATTTATTTTAGTCTAAAGATATCATATTGATGACATATCGTAAGATCAGATCAGTTTCATTATAATAATTGCAATTAGTCGACTCAGATAGTCCTAAATCTAATTTACTTGAAAGTAAGTCAACAAATTGTTGTCTTCGTAATTATAATTATTAACTTACAGAAATCTGAACTCAAGCTTGAAAAAAACAATAAATAAATCGTTTAAAATATATGTATATTGTACGTGTTAACCAATGCGGTATTCTCTGAACTTGACATAAATGTATATACATGTATGTTAAGTATAAACATCTTAAACTTAAATATGATGTTAACAGTGTTCGGTACATGTGTTAATACTATATATGAATGTACTACTGAAAATTAAAACAGAACAAAGATTTAATAGATATTCATAAATTAAATGTGTACGGAATTGTTACATGATATGTGGGCTAATTGCTGGCCGGGCAGTCGTCAGGAAAGTGGTTCTGGTTGCCAGGCAATTGCGCACTCACGTTACTAACGTAAACAAAAATTGAAACCAAAAGGAGAGCCACAACAAATAAGTGGAAAAATATCCATAATTTAGCAGGAGTCGTCGTGTACTCAATTGAAATTGTGTAAAGTCAATAGAATGTCGTTCAAGGATGTGCACGGTGAGTGGTTTCCCAGTGACTGTAATTGCGCCTGTCATTTTGCCCTTACCTTTGCTACTCTCGTGTTTCAGATCTCAGCGAGCATCTCAAGTTGCTGGGTTTTCCGCGACTCTTTCCGCTCCAAGCGCTAGCTACTCAGCACGGCAGCCTGGCCAACTTTCACATTGTGGCCGAGCTGCTGCAGTGGCTGGCCAGGCTGCTAGAGCCTGGCGCTTTACTGGCTGGCAGTGTCCAGACGGAAGAACAGCGTGTTCTGCTCATACGTGCAGCTAGCGAATTCTTTCTAACTAAGTCAGGCATAAGGCTGAATCCGCGCAAACTCTATGCCGCAGCGGCCGTCAGTGCCACGGAGCTACAGAAGATAACACGCCTGCTGATTACGCCCGCTCAGACGGAAGAAGAGAGCGAGGACCAGGATGAGGACCGACAGCAATATTATAGTCTCAATCAAGTAGATATTGGCGACAAGATGGATGAGTTGCGCCGTGCTCGTGAGCTATCCTCCAATCTAACACAGGGCGGCGCTGGGCTCTATGATCTGCTATCCAAGGAGCTGGGTAACAAGAAAGTGCATATCGCCCAAACGCCCCAACCAATGGAGCTGATCAGCGTTGAGCGCACCATGAAGAACGCTATCCAGGTAAGCCAGCTGAAGCTACAGTCCAGTCGGGCCCATCTAGAGAATGCACGCATCGAACTCAATGCATTCACCTCCAAACTGCTGCGCAAGCGTGCAGAGCTGGACCGCACCAAGCAACGGTTGGAAGCACTCCAGAAGATTCGTCCCGCTCACATGGCAGAGTTCGAGGAGTGCGAGAAGGAGCTGCAGCAATTGTTTCAGCGCTATTTTCTGCGATTTCATATCCGTGAAGCGCTACGTAATCAGCTAGAGGCGCGTACAAAGCGGCGTGTCACGCCTATCTATCTATTGCCACTGCTGCAGAAGCCTGCCGAGAACTCGATGCCATTTATACCAGAGGGCCTGATCGAGGACGAGGACGATGACGATGATGGCGACGATGGTGATGGCGACGGACAGATGTGTAATGAATTGCCACGCGAGAGGTCCTTCGGCCTGGACTCAGAAATACCCGACATACGCGATGAGGATCTATTGGTACAGCGCAGCAGAGCAGCCAAGGGTGGTTTAACAGCGGCAGCACTCAGCCAGCGACCCTGCACGACCACCACTCGCACCCGTCCCACCACAGGCCGCAGTCGTCGAACGATAGCAACGGCATCTGCATCTAGCTCCAGCGGCGCACGAACCACACACATCGAACGAAATGCGCCAAGCAGCAGCATGCTCAATCGCCGCACGGATAACGACAGCAGTTTTGGCAGCTCCGACAGCGAACTGGACATGGGTGATATTATTGGCAGGTTCGCCGGCACAGGCGATGATGATTGTAAGTATAAGCTTAAAGCGCATATCCACAAACATCAATTGATATCCTTTGCTACTCCCTGTTCATTACTTTCGGGTCTTCCCCCAGTCGATCTGAACTCCATCGATGACATTAGCATATCGAAGCTAACCGGCGAGATGCCGCTGCGCCCCAAAACGTCGAGCAAGACAGAGCACCACAGCGACGAGGACTTTTAGCCAAACGAGCATATGAAGTGATGTAAAAGTCGATGTACCATTGCATGAATTATTGATATACCAGTTATAAAGTAATTATATGCCATTTACGTACAAATATATCATTAATGTAGCATTGTTGTAGCTTTGATGCCCATTGATGTAGTAATGAAGCATAAATATCCCATTTATGTAATCTTTATCTAATACAAATTGTTTACTATGTAAATGCCATTAATACTATTACTATTGATTCACCATTAATGTGTAATTGATGTATTCATGTAATATTGATATATATACAAACACGCATGCCATATATATATATATATATATATATATATAAGATCTGCCCTACATTTTGAATTGTAATTTTGCAATTCGTAATGTAAAGCGATATTTATTGTCAATTAAACTACCTTTAGGTTTTGCAGATAGTAACGCCGAGAATCGAGGTGGTAAAATAATTTAAAATAGCTCTATCAACAATCACGCCAATTCTACACAAAAATGAGTTTATTTTGCATACCCCAAAAACAAGCTGGCATTTTTTGAGCCTCGTTAAATGAAAATCTCGACAAATCGAGAATCCGTAAAATAAATGTTAGTCCCGTGTCATTTTGAATTGTCCGGATCTCACTGTGCATAGAATTTGAAAAAAAGGGGTCATGGCAGTTACTTGGAGAAGATATTGCTGAACGTAATTTGGGACTACTCGGGCCTAATTGCTCAATACTACATCACCACATCGCGGCAAACAATCTTTGCTTTACTTGTGGCATGGGAGCCAGCAACTGCTTGCTGTCTGTAGATATCGCTGTGCGGCGAAGACGTGGATGAAGAGTAATCAATGTGGCAGCTTGCTTGCGATTGCTCCTGGCGTGCCAGGAAATTGTCAGCTATCGCACGATCCAGGCCTGTATATTGAAAAGTGACTGCCCCATCCAAAACATCCGGCTCGGACCTCCGGCGTTGGCGGCGAATCCCATCTGTCTTGCCAGCGACACGACACCGACGTCGCTGTCCATTCAACTCCGCTGATTTGGTGCTCTTAGGGGTGCGATAGGTGCCTGTTAAACTGGCCGGATGGGCATAGAGCAGAGATCCCGACTTCATATAGGGCAGCGTCATACGTTTATATTGCGGCGGCAGCACAGCCAGCTGCATGCCACCTCCAACGCAGGATGGTGCGGGAGGCAAGCGTGTTGGAGGGGGCGGCGGTATCTGAAATTTATAAAGTTTAATACTGGATTATGAACAAATATTTATTTGTATGTGTGTATTAGAATATTTATCACTATAAGGACTTACCCCATTACCAGCTGATATGAGTATGATGGAATGTGATGGGGACGTGAACTTGCGCACTGATGACTGTGGGTGCGACAAGGTACCCGTATGTGTAGCATACATCCACATGGCTGCTAGTTTCTCGTTTTTTACCTAAACAGAACGACGAGAGAATATTTTTACGAGTCGAAACTCTTTTTATTAACTGTTGTCTTACGTTTTCGCTGGAATTAAGGGGCATTGCATTCATGTATTGATCCACCTTTTGTTGATCAAATGTAATATCCGATAAGTTCGACTTTATAATTACATCACGTATTTCACTACGTTGTGATCTGCAGGTAAATAAATAAATAAAAAATTGCAGTTTTATTTTACAACTTTAAAAATGTAATTTGTGGCGCCACCTATATGTTAAGCTTAAATGCAATATAGCACAAGTATCGTTAGAAATACGATAGTTCGATACAAATTTGGGGACGCACTGACCATCTCTTATTGCATAGCAGCTGTCTGTTCTTCTTCTATTGTTTTTCATAAAAATTCGTCAGCGAAGAGAAAATATTTAATCTGCTTTGATAGAATCTGACACTTTCGCGGCCAGTGCTAAGCGCATGTTTTAATTAACTATAAAAATGATTCAGTGTATCAGTGCTAGTGTACCCGGAAACATTAACAATAAAACAAAGTATTGATTTTTACAAACGTAAAGGCAAAACAGATAAATGAGCAGATTGTTGTTTTTCTATTTGGCCGGTGGAGCAACAAAAGCAAATCAAATCGATAACGTTGCTGCTGCTCTTTGTATACGATAGTATTCGAAAGTCACCAAATTGAAAACTTTATAAATTAACACATTAGAATAAACATTTTATTTTTTAACAAATAACAATAAAAAGAACACGCCAGACGCTAGTGGTCAAACAACAATCGATATTAAAGTTGTCGGAAACGATTACTAATCAAAGCGCACAAAGAAAACAAAGAAAGAAACCTAATCCAATAGATTGTTGATCGGTTTATTTCCCTTTTAATTGTATTTGGACACACATTAACAGACGCCGTTGAAATTTAACAGCGGAGTAGGGACATAACAACGAATTGCAATAATAACTTTAAAACGACAGCTCGCCACGTCAGTGGGAGTGGATGAGAAACAGCACCAGAAAAATAAAGCTGTTGAGACTTCTGTGAAAGGTTCTCACTCCCCCAAAAATGTTTAATAACTTTAAAAATAGTTTCATATCGGCCATGGAGCCTGATCAGAGTTCTACCGGCTGGCTGAGAGATAAGTTCCCTTACGGGCGTCCTCCATTCCTACAGTTGCTTACTGCCGACGAGCTGCGTGCCTCTGCCAATCATAATGTTCGACCGATTATTGTTCCGCGAGACTTAAATTTGTTGCCTTGGGGCACCGGCTATGCCGAATGTATAAACTCTGGCAAATCTAAGTGGAACGAGGATCAAGCTGCCTTCTGTCGGTAAGTCTAACCAAAAAAAACTTTAAAATTAAACAAAAATTATAAAGAAAATATTTAAATTGTCAAATTAATCTATAATAAACAACGAAGAAAGAAAGAAAGACAGTGTTATTGTTTTTTACGATAAATATCATACCTATAATATATCGAGAAGGTTAATCTTATAATAATGTGAAACATTTGAAGATGTTTCAACCATAATTAGATTATCATTAAAAAGTTTAACTACATTGTCATATGGCTTTCAGGCATGTGCTTATGGATCCAGATAAGAGGCATCCCGATCTGCCCTACACGTATTTTGGTATTTTCGATGGCCATGCTGGCTATGGCGCTGCATTGGCCGCCTCTCATCAATTTCATGATATACTGCACGAGATGCTGGTGGACTGCAGCGAGCTGTTGTTGCAACGTGATGAAGACAACGATAACGGTATACCGCAACTCAATCCGACATTCCCTCATCCGACCTACTTTCAGCGGCGGGTCAGCAGGGATGAACTGATTATTGGCGCCCTGGAGAACGCTTTCTTCCACATGGATTGGCTAATTGCACAAGACAGGAAGCACTACCGCAATGCGGGCGGCTGCACGGCTTGCGTCGCACTTTTTATTGATGGTAAAATGTATGTGGCTAATGCTGGTGATAGTCGGGCCGTGCTCTGTCAGCGACGAGCGGGAGCTAGAGTCGCAGTTAGTGAGACGCAGTCAGAGCCCAATGAGATTGAGCCGAATCCGATAGACAGTTTAGATAGTTACCCGACGGCCTATTCCGCAGATCATACCCCGGAAACAGAACGTGAACGTTTAATGAACGTGGCTAGCTTAAAACCACATTTGATGCGCCAACAGTATGTGACTATGGAGTATGCTAAACGGCCACATATTACGGACATGGGCAAGCGTATACTCTGCCGGCAAAGTACCATGAAAGGCTGGTCATACAAGACGTTGACGCGTAATGATCTGCGCATGCCTGTGGTTAATGGCGAGGGTAAACGCAGCCGATTGCTGGGCACGCTGGGCGTGACTCGTGGCTTTGGTGATCACGATTTACTAGCCATTAATACGGGCGTTCAGATAAAACCATTTCTAACGCCACAACCCGATGTGCGGCAGCGTGATCTTAGTCAGGTTGTTAGCATACCCGATGAACACAATGAGGATGGTGATTACGGCGTACTTGTAATGGCCACCGATGGACTTTGGGATGTGTCCGAGAATGACGCTGTTTCACGCACCGTCTTCCAAATGTTGTCACGTTATCCCAAGGAGAAACATCGCTACACAATGGCCGCCCAAGAGTTGGTAGCACGTGCCCGTGGAAAAATTAACGAGTCAGGGCATTGGCGCTTAGCGGATAGTAAAGCGGCGGCTACAGTCGATGATATTTCAGTGATTGTGATTCCAGTATACCAGTATTACAAAGAGCATATCGAATGGACACGCAACGACACACGCGAATTAGAGAAGCGACGGCGCAAAACAGTCGAAGCCAATATGGCTCAGGAAGCGGCAAATGCGCTCAATGATATCGTAGCTGAAGAGGCTAATGTTGTGGAAGAGCCACATATCCAACAGCAGCAAGTGACTGCACAGGTAGAGACGGTGCCTGCACAGCTGACACAAGAAAAGAAGAAGCAGGAGGATCAGGAACAGCGTTCGAACTGGATCTAGAGGTAACTCTCGTTGTAGAACTAAGCGATAACACATCGCTCCAGGCGGGCCTCAAAACAGTCAGCAACAAGTACAACTGGATGCACGTGTAAAAGGTATATAGTTTGACAAGTATCTCAATATCTTAACTTAAACTCGAATTCAATTACAGGCACATTAGAGGACCCAATAGTAATATCAGCAGACAATAATAACAGCAGTTGTCTCAAAAGTAGCGGCATCAAATAAACAACGCAACAATCGCAAAGTGAAAGGTAACAAACAGTAGAGAATGCGATAAACGATATTCAGGATCCACACGGGCATGTCCCTACAAAATGTTATATAAAACATTATTTTTAAGATTTCTGAGGTGGGCATACAAGAACAGGAAATACAGAAAATTCTTCTAAGCAGGTACATGTACAAAGTAGAATTTCAGTTCTTTCGAAGAATGTGCATTGTACAATAATTTAGTGTATAAATTGATTTCTTTTTCACTTATAATTTTTTTTTGTCAAAATTCATTTATCTTAAACTACGTGTAAATGCTTATGTATTCTTATAAATAACTCTAACCAAGAGGCGCGGAGCATATATAAAACAAGTTGAACAATTGAAAAAAATGTGCAGTCTAAAAACAAAATAAAATTGACGCTAATTAAACTAAAAATATAAAAAAAAATTAAAAATGTAATTTTAAAACAAAAAATCAAATAGTATTTTAAGTTGCTAATATAAATAAAACCATCAATTGTTAAATAGCGAAAACTCAAAAGCAAGATTAAGTAAAAAATCGTTACTCGTCTATTCCGTACAATTATACTATACTATATATTTGTATGTTGTGTACTATTACATTTAACAAACAAACATTTAACAAAATTTGTGTATGATTATCTTTGATTATCATAATTAGTTTTCTTGCGTTATTTAGCATTTTCAAGTAAATTCCAACTACATAATAGAAAAAGGAGTTCAAATTATGCAGTGTATGATTAATGGAATTGTATTTTAATTATATTATAAATACTTTTATAAATCTTTGATCATTCGACGATTCTTAATTTTGCGCACATCTAAGCATAAAATGCTCGTTAATATTTTTTCGAATCGCTTCCTTAAAATTAAAATTTGCATACCAAAAAATTTGAATACAATTAAACGAGTCAAACATACTAAGCAGAGGAAGGAAACTTGAAATAGATACATATGGCGGAGGTATGCCAGTTTTGTTGAGGCAACAACAATGTCTGTGAGTCATCGGTAGATAGTGAAACCCAAGTCATCATCATACGCTGATTCTAAATATTTCAAACTTTCTTTTTTTTGTTTATGAGCTTTCGTTTTGGTATAAATACGGGTAACAATGCGGCATCATACATTACATAAATATACATATACACATATATTTATGTAATGTATGATAAATATATATATATATATATATATATATATATATATATAAGTTAACTTATAACACTTAGTTAGCTTATAACACTTAATGTAAGGTATTATTCAACACTTATTATCGGGTGCTAGACAAGTTAAGGAACAGCCCTGGCAAGGGCAACTCTACTTACGCCGGTGAGGCTATGATTTGTAAAAATATAGATCAGTCTCGTGTTTTAACTCGTACTGATAGGACATGCTAAAAATTGGTGTCATATAAGTAAAACTAAAAATAGTGAATATAATAAGAAAAACCAATAAAATTAACTGTTTCGATTATTCAAAAAAGAACAATTAAAAGCAGGGTTAAAAAGCGTTCTTCCAGTAAACCGCTTAAATAAATATTCACTCCGTCATTTGCTCGTTAAATGGCTTATTTCATTGTCTGAGCCCGAGGCCAGCAATAAGAGGCACAGTCGCCTCTCAACCTAACTTTCAGTCACCACAGGACTGGAAAACATATAATTGGCGCCCAACTAGTGGTCGGACTCCACAACCAACAACAATTAAGACAGCAGCGCGGGAGCTGCAATTGACAGATCTTATAAAGGGATTTTTTTTTTTTTGTTTTGTGTTAGTTGAATCTTGTAAGTGGATACTCTAGCCAAAATTTTTCTTCAAACACAAAAAGTGTTAAAATTTATTTTATAAAAAAATACCTAGGACTAGCGAGTATTTTATATTGCAATTGCATGTAAAAAAAAAAAAAAAAAATTAATGATCAGAACCAAGTGAGAGTGACTACTTTGGGAATTTTAGTGGCAGCAATTGATCATTCAGATCGTCAATAAAATTACATTGTGTTACTTTCTGTGTGTCTGAAGTTGTGCATGCAGTTCTCGTAGTTCAGAGCTGTGACGTAATTCGACCCATCTTCTGACGGTCCGTTTTATTTTTCGCGACCACTGACCTGCGCATGTCTCGGTTCAACCAATAGAGAAACCCTCGCAGGCAGTCTAGCGACTCAGATTCCGACTGTGCAGTTCTCCCACCATCAGGTAGAATGGATGTAGATCAGCTTACGGAAGTAATAAGGACGGCTATCAGCAAAGCTTTAGCCGAACAGGCTGCTGTAAACCAGCAGAGGGAGCATGCATGGACTCAAAAAATTAATGAGTTAGCTGAACAAATAGCAGATGCATCCCCATTAGTTAGAAGTTCTTTTTTGAAAATGCTGAAGACCAGACAAAAGGCCTTTGCAGACCCAGACGAGACGTTGCCGTATAACACATCAGTCGTGGCTACCATTAGGACCATAGATGAGCAACCGATCTATACCAAGCTTTACCCATATCCAATGGGAGCGGCTGATTTCGTTAATAAAGAAATCAAAGATCTACTAAAGAATGATATAATTCAAAAGTCCGTCTCTCCCTACAATAACCCAATATGGGTAGTAGACAAGAAGGGCACTGATGAAGCGGGCAATAGGAAAATGAGGTTGGTAATGGACTTTCGTAAACTTAACGAAAAAAACCGTGCCGGACAAATACCCTATGCCAAATATATCAATGATATTGGGGAATTTGGGGAGAGCCAAATTCTTTTCAACATTAGACCTCAAGTCTGGTTATCACCAGATCATACTCGCTGAACGCGACCGTGAAAAAACCTCTTTCTCTGTGAACGGGGGGAAATACGAGTTCAAAAGACTCCCCTTTGGATTAAAGAATGCAGCAAGCATTTTTCAAAGAACCATCGACGACATACTGCGAGAGCAGATTGGCAAATTTTGCTATGTTGATGTCAATGACGTAATCATCTTTTCAGAAGATGAGGAATCCCACATTAAACACGTGGATCGGGTCCTAAAAAGCTTATACAAAGCAAACATGAGGGTCTCCGTCAAAAAGTCACGTTTTTTTAAGAAAAGCGTGAACTTTCTTGGTTTCGTAGTCACCAGCACTGGCACCACGACGGATCCTGAAAAGGTTAGGGCAATACAGGAGTATCCAGAACCAAAAACGCTGTTCGAGGTTAGATCATTTCTAGGCCTCGCAAGTTATTACAGATGTTTCATTAGGGACTTCGCCGCAATAGCAAGACCCATCTCGAATATCCTAAAGGGTGAAAATGGAACAGTCAGTAAGCATAGGTCCAGAAATATAAAGGTTCAATTCTCTGAAGTGCAGCAGAGGGCATTTCAGAAGTTGCGCGATATTTTGTCATCCGAGAATGTAATGCTCAGGTACCCCGATTTTAAGAAGCCATTCGATCTAACGACCGATGCTTCGGCTCACGGCATAGGTGCAGTTTTGTCTCAAGAGGGTCGTCCTATAACAATGATTTCAAGAACATTGAAGGACAGTGAGGTTAACTATGCAACCAATGAGAGAGAGTTATTGGCCATTGTATGGTCACTTGCCAAATTAAGGCACTATTTGTATGGGGTGAAAGACATTAATATCTTCACTGACCATCAACCCTTGACCTTCGCAGTTTCGGAATCTAATCCAAATGCGAAAATCAAAAGGTGGAAAGCGCGCATTGACGAGTCTAATGCACGTATCTTCTATAAACCTGGCAAGGACAATCTGGTTGCGGATGCCTTGTCAAGACAGCAGCTCAACGCTATAAATGAGCAAGAAATTGAGTCCTGCGCAGCAACGATCCACAGTGAGGTATCTCTCACCAACACCATTGAGACGACAGACAAACCCTTGAACTGTTTTCAAAACCAGATAGTGCTAGAAGAGGCGCGTTTCCCCTTAAAACGAAGTTTTATTCTTTTTGGAAATAAGAAACGCTACTTGATCAGCTATACATGCGTCGAATCGCTGCTAGACGAGCTCGAAGATGTAGTCTCACCCAAATGCGTAAATGCTCTCCACTGTAATTTACACACGCTTGCAATGATACAAGATGCATTGGTGCGAAGATACCCAGCCACAAAGTTCTGGCATTGCAAAAATCGCGTAGTGGACATATTTGCGGTTGGAGAAGGAAGGGAAATCCTCACAGTCGAGCATAATAGGGCCCATAGGTCTGCACAGGAAAATGTTAAGCAGGTACTCTCGGAGTACTACTTTCCACGGATGGCAAAAATTGCCAAGGAAATGGTACAAAACTGCAAAACATGTGCTAGGGCTAAGTATGATAGACACCCCAAAAAACAAGAGCCACAAGAAAAGATAGAAGAAAAGATCAGAAACGCTCAGACGACGCTCAGAGCTAGGGAGAACGCAAAGCGGCAGAATAGAGTCTTCGATGTTGGTGACAAGGATTTGGTCAAGTCCAACCGACGGCTCGGAAACAAACTCACACCTTTATGTGTCGAGAAGGCCGTGGAAGCAGACCTGGGGACCGAGGTCCTCATTAAAGGAAGGGTGGTCCACAAGGACAACCTAAGATGACTCCCTTGTTTTTTTATTACACCTTTTATTATAAGCCGCTAGGCAATTTAGAATAAGTTAGATATAGTTTTTCAATTTACCTTTAGCCACTTGGCATAATTTTTATAAAACAATTTGGTGGCGGGTACACCCGATGCCGGTGATTTAGAGCAGACTAGGTCCACTGAAATGCGACTAATGAATGCCAACAGTAGACGGATAGAAGTAAACACTGAGGTTCAAGACCAACTTAACCAGTTAACATTTGCTGTCAGTGGAGTTCTCGGGATAGCCAAAACTCACAAATTGATTTTATTGATTTATTTATTTGAAACACTGAAACACTGTCCAGAAACAGAATGCGGACGATGGAGTTGCAAAGTTTAATGCTTGCTATTACTCTCGCGAAGGCTCATTGTTAGCCCAAACATTTTGGACTCCTCAGATTTAAAATCAATTTGGCTAGAGGAATCCATCAACACTATACATTTTATAACCAAATTCCCAAAAATTAAAAAAGCCTGCAGAAAAATTACGATTTATCCTGTCGTCCACAAGAACCAGCAACAGCTCTATTCGCCCCATAGTTGGATGCTAAGCCAGAACCACAGCATGCAAATCTACAAGCGGAATCGTTGAGGAAACCCCCTTGTTCACGGCACCACCACCAACAGTAGAAGCTCATCAGCCAGCAACAACTAACGAACTCTTCGCGGCGGCAGAGCCAAGCGACTCTTCATCCATACTAGAACCAAGTCAAGAAATCCCCAAAACACCGCCAACTGCATTAATTCAAGAAGTTTCACAGCCACAGGTTGCTCCAACCGCTGCCCATCTCTGTCGACACCTGCCACGGCTGCCTGCTCATCCTCATCCTCATCGGCAGCGGCGTCACGTCAACTGCAGCTGCCGGCATTGTCGGCAGTTGCCGCACGGCAACAGCAGCTACTGCTGAACGGCTCTCTGAAGAGCAAGACGAAGACATTTCCTGCGTATCGAGCATCGGTGCGCAGCGAGAGCGACGACAAGGAGTACAGGGCGGCTAGCAGCAGCAGCAACACGATACCGACGACGGGCAAAAGTCGGCCAAGATCAGCGGCAAGAACTGTAACAATCTGCTGCACAACGCCGGCAATAAGCTAAGCGTGAGCAGCAACTCCTTCGGCCTATACGCAGCATCTGGCATCATCGCCCAAGAGCCCTGTCTCCAGCAACGGCCATCTGAACAAATACTGCCTGACGGACTTGACGCGCCGCAAGGCCGAATTCAATCGCCAGCTGAGCGCGCCGACAGACTACACACATCACTCGTCCAGTAACGGCTCATAGCATCGCTGGAGTGGTGGGACACAGTCATCACGGCCATCACGGGCACGTGCACGGCCAGTCATCGACGGCGCCAGCCACACTCAAGTCGCTGCAGCTGCACAACTTTGGTATGCATCATCCGATGCCAAGGCCCACGTCCACGTCGTGCACCAACAGCTTCAACAGACGCCACATACGTAGGCGCAAGAGCAAGCTTAGTAAGCGCCTGCTGAACGGCGATAGCGAAGAATCAGTACGCTGCTCATACTGCTCCGTATTGAATGTGAATGAGAACGACTTGCGGATTTCATTCGAGAACACCTGCACCGACTCGCTGGTCACCGCTGCTAATATGCGACCAAGGAACCGAAATGGTGCACTTTGATGATGTGTCGTTGTACGGCACTCCGAAAGAGGAGCCATATGCTGTGCTTTAATCTGCATTGGCTTCACTCTTTGGTGGATCATCGACGCAAAGAAGTCCGCGAAGCACTTGCGAGGAGTCGTCGCTGGAATTGGGTCGGTCGAGGACGACCTTACACTTGAGGGGGGGGGTAGTTAACTTATAACACTTAGTTAGCTTATAACACTTAATGTAAGGTATTATTCAACACTTATTATCGGGTGCTAGACAAGTTAAGGAACAGCCCTGGCAAGGGCAACTCTACTTACGCCGGTGAGGCTATGATTTGTAAAAATATAGATCAGTCTCGTGTTTTAACTCGTACTGATAGGACATGCTAAAAATTGGTGTCATATAAGTAAAACTAAAAATAGTGAATATAATAAGAAAAACCAATAAAATTAACTGTTTCGATTATTCAAAAAAGAACAATTAAAAGCAGGGTTAAAAAGCGTTCTTCCAGTAAACCGCTTAAATAAATATTCACTCCGTCATTTGCTCGTTAAATGGCTTATTTCATTGTCTGAGCCCGAGGCCAGCAATAAGAGGCACAGTCGCCTCTCAACCTAACTTTCAGTCACCACAGGACTGGAAAACATATAATTTATATATATATATATATATATGTATACATAGTTTGCTTAGGTCTTAACAATTATATTTATAAGCATCTTTTCCTGTTTTGCCTTAATTTTCTATTTGTTTAATTTAATTATTTAATTTGATTTAGCAACAATAACACATGATGTGAAAAAATTAGCTAAGATATTTAAAATATTCACGATTTTCCCTTTTCGCATCTACTTTTTGTGTGTTTTTTAGCCAATTTGAAATTTATTTATGTAAAGTGTGAATTAGTCGCGAGTGTGTCTGGGAGTGTATACCTGGTTTTGAGGGATACAGGATGGCATACATTTACACAGATATATATATATATATATATATATATATATATATATATATATATATATATATATATATATATATATATATATATATATATGGAAAAACACAACAAAAAAAAATATATATAAATTTCGAATTTTGTATTTTTCCATATATCGGTCTTAAATTATTAGTTAAAAAAGTGTTGCATAGAAGATACGACATAGACAGAGACATAACATAATGTAAGAGAGGGATAGATTGAGAGTGGAAGGGACGGCACTGCCGCAATATCATTTTCCTTGCCAATGTACTTAAACTTAGGCCAAACGCAGCTTGGTGGGGCAAATCTGCTGCTCTAAACTACAATTATTTTTATGCTGCTCTTGGTGTGGATTTATGGTGACATGCTATTCTTAACGCCATTACGGAAATGCCCGGCAACGGATCAGAATTCTATTCAGAGTATATTTTTATTGAATTAGTTGCCGCTTGGCCTGGTGTCACAGGCACAAACCTGCTGACAATTAGAAATGCAAATTTGCGCGATCTTTGGCTCGCCGCTTGGCCAGCATCGACAGCTCTACTGGTCCTACATTAGCTGCTTGCGGTATGGCAATAGCGCGAAAAGTTGCATCCACAGCACCTCGTAGCGCCATCGAAATATGGTTCTGTTGCTGCTGTTGTGCTTCCAATGACAATTGCTGCGAAGAGCCGCTAGTCGCATTCTGTGCAAATTCTGTAAGCTGCACATTGCCAGAAAACTGATCCCGCACCCAACTGTGTTCTATGATCTGTGCCACTGTTGGTCGATTTTCGGGTACAATGTGTAACATCTGACGTAATAAATCCTTAACTGGCGCACTGATCAACGACCAGCGAGTGCTGCTAAAATCAATGTGTCCTGATCCAATTCGTTTCAATATTACATCCGGCGAGTCATTTGGCGTGCTGGCAAACGGCGTCCGCCCTGATAGCATAATATAAAGCAGCACACCCAATGACCAAATGTCACAAGCCAAATCATATCCTTGCCTCTTCAGCACTTCCGGTGCCACAAAGTTAGCTGTATAGCAGGGCGTCATCAAAAGGCCGTTGTCAGCGCGCAGTTGCTTCGCGAAACCTGCAAAGCGAGTTTTTTTTCAGTAATATTTATACATATGCAGATATATGCATTATATGTACCAATACTACACACGATGTTAGAGCAGTTCTTTGTTATATAAGTCTTATATAATCTAAACTATATAGCAGGTCTTGATATGAAATGGTTCGAAACAAACCTCTATTTTATTTAACTATTTTTAGTTTGCTCCACTGAAAAAATACCTATAATGAATGCAAGAATACATAAGTAAAAGGATAAGCACTCAATGAGTGGAATACATATGTATATACCTCATTGACGAAATTGAACAATTTTGGGAAATTTGGAAGAAATAAACCTATATGTGCGTAAAGGCATCAGAGTACATATAAGTTGGCTGTATTCATTTAGTGACTTAAATGAATATATAATTGGAAATTTACTAATTTTATATCCTTTGCTCAACTGTGTTTAAACGTGCTCAGATTATTTCCATACCCTTGACAGGGTAGCAAAACTTACCTAAATCGCAGAGCTTAAGCGTTTCAGGCGTTTGTCGCATGCTCGAGTAGATCATATTCGAAGGCTTCAGATCCCGATGTACGACTCCGTGCTCGTGCAGATACGCGACTGCCGCGGCAATCGTGCGCAAGACTGCACTAGCTTCACTCTCGCACATTTGGCCAACTGCCAGGATGCGATCGAGCAGTTCGCCGCCCTTGAGCAGCTCCATCACCAGATACGCGGAGCTGATATCCTCGTACACCGAATAGAGCGTCACAATATTCGGATGATTGCCGTAGCGTAGCATTATCTCTACCTCCTCCCAGCAATCCACTGTAGCAGAGGATGCTGCGGATGCTACGGCAGCCTTTTCGATGATCTTCACAGCGTAGTGCTTTTTGGAGGCGCGATGCTCGCACAGGCGACACACAGAGAACGTGCCACGTCCTAATTCATGCAGCAAATTATATTCGAATAGAAAATTGCCAGGCAGGACACCAGGTAAGCTGCGTGGCCCAGGCGCCACCACCACTGATGGCACTGAAGAAGTCGATAGAGCAGCATGCATGGGACTTACGTTATTGGAGCCACTAATATTCGTGTTATCCTCTAGCAGCATGGGTGCTACGAAGCTAAAGCCGCGAAAGATTTCGTGTGCAGATGCGGATATTGGACCACCGGGTGAATCGCGCGGCGACTTGGAAGTGTACTCCACATCAAAGTAGAAGGCATCATCACGACTGACCGCCGGTATAAATGGTGGACGCACTAATTTACGTTCCAGACGCACCCAATCGATGGTGGCAAAGAAACAATGCGCTTTAATGTCTAGGATGCCTTGCGCGCCAGCACCGAGTCGATTCAATGGATTCCGCTTGAAGAGCGCACGCAGTAAGGACTGTGCCTCTGGTGAAAGATTCTCGGGCATGCCTAGCTTGGAGCGCAATATCTGATTCATGGTCTCTTGGCGTGTCTGGCCATGAAAAGGCAAATTTCCCGTTAGCATTTCGTACATAAGAACACCGAATGACCACCAGTCCGCAGCAAAGTCATGACCTTTGCGATTGACAATCTCGGGAGCCATGTATTCAACGGTGCCACAGAAGCTATACGTCTTGGAACCATCCAGTGGTTGTTTCGACAGACCAAAGTCAGTCAGAGCAATGTGCCCGTGCTCATCGAGAAGAATGTTCTCTGGCTTCAAGTCGCGATAAATGATCCCCAGGGTGTGCAGATGATTGAGCGCCAATGCCAGTTCGGCCAAGTAAAACTTGACATCCTCCTCGGTAAACATGACCTCCTTGGAGAGTCGCGTAAACAAATCACCTCCACGTAGAAAATCGAGTATCAAATACAATTTACCAGGGGTTTGGAACGCATAGTGCAGGCGCACGATGAACGCGTGACCCACATCAGCAAGAATTTTACGTTCGTTTGTGCTACGCACGCGATCCTTAACTTTGAGTGTGGCCTTCTTCAGGACCTTCATGGCGTAAAGAGTGCCCGCATCTTTGCCCAGAATCTTTCGTACCAAAAATACCTTGCCAAAGCTGCCCTCGCCAAGTACACGCAACAGCTCAAATTGCGAAGGATCCGCTTTATCGTGACCCTCTTTGACTACTTCGCGCAGCTCAAATTCATCGTAACTCGCTGCACCATACGATTCCGAGTCGCTCAGCTCCATCTGCTCGGGATTTTTGCTTGGTGTTATGTGGTGTTGTTCAAGTGCAGCTTGCAACTGTTGTTGCTGTTGTTGCTGCTGCTGCTGTTGTTGTTGTTGACGGCGCTGTGATGACGTTACTGTTGTCACAGCGCCGCTGTCCTCATCGGTTGGCGTATGCTCCATCGGTGTCACCGCGAGACTACTACAGCCGGAGGAAGTAATCTGCATGCGTTGCCGTAGCTGCAAACCCATTGTTGTTGCCGCTGCTGTTGTTGTCTTTGTTGTTGTTGCTGTACATGTTGCCGTTGTTGCAGTTGCTGCTGCAGCACATGCATTATCCCGCTGTACGTGCTCAGCATTGTTGTTATTGCTGTTGCTGCAGCTGTTAACTTCAACTTGCTGTTGGTGCTGCTGTAGCTGTCTTATATCCCTATTAGAGTCAGCCAGTGGCATGACTGTTTCTGCCTTGTTGGCGTTCAAGTGCACGTACACGTTTGTGGGCGTATTGTTCCGTTTAATATGATCTACTTGCTCTTATTTCTTTTAATGTTGATGTAGCTGTTACTGCTGCTGTTGTTGTCGCATATAAGACACGGGCGCATCAAACTGCCGAAGCATAGATACGAGCTTTGCGCTGCTCGCGGCTGCTGCGTTTGCTTGAGCTTCCGTTTTTTGTTTCTCTTTCTTATAAATTTTCGTACTTTTTACTTCTTTTAGACCAAATGCGTGCTGGTGATGTGAAACAACATCGAAACCTCAATACGTTTTATTTATTACCGATTGCAGCGCGATTAACTTAATCAACAAATATCGATGAACATCGACCACATAATTTGAAAGAACCGCGCTTTTACACTTAGCTCTTCCGTTTGACATTATACTCTCAATATACATTTGTGTTGTACATACTCTATACATTGTTTAAAAATTAATAAATCAAATCAAATTATGAATTAAATGTACATTATTCTTACAACTGATAATATTTACCAATCGAAGTAAATAGAAGTTTTAATGTGTTCTCAATCGCGCCGTGCCGGTTTATTATTTACTTAATAGCGATATCTCTAGTCAGACACTAGCTCCACGCGATACTTATCGTGGACTCACACATAGCTGTTGATGTTCTCTAATAAGCAGTACATAGCTATGTTATTTAACAGTCAAAGGCATTACCAGCCGATCAACTATGTAGTCAGTAAAGTGGAATAAATAAGTAAAATGTACTCACTTTGTGCAAATCTGCAGGGCGCAACGATAAACCGAAACAATGCTGACCACGAAGTGTAAAAATAGGGCAAATATTAGTCCACAAGCAGCTGAAAGTTCGCTATGAGCATTGATCAGGTCAAACTGCAAAAAGTAACAGCGAAGCAACACATAAACAAAAACAATTTTGCATGGCAAATCATAGATGAAACAGCACTCTTACCTGCTCACTTTTTTGCTCGGCCATGCGATTGAGGTCTCGCGACAGGCCCACTCCAGAAATGGCCAGCGCCAACGTGCTGCTGGCAATGCAGACCAAACTGAGTGCTAGAAAGGCCGTTTGGGTTTTGCGCATGCTGACCGCGCCCAGCGACCCGGTGATGGAGGCAATCAAACCCGTCCATATGCCGCAGCCGGCCATAGATAAGGCTGCGTCGCGCACTATTAGCAGGGAGCCCAGCGCCACCAATAAAATGGCTAAAACAAGTTGCAATGCGCCTAGTACGATTTGCAATGGGAATGCTGAGCAGCATTCATTGCTGGCCCGATGCTTACACCGCTCCTTGGCTGACAGTGTGGAACCATTGGCTCCACTATCGCTGCTCCGTCTACCACGGCCACCCTTATACTTGATAAATTCCGGGGGGCAGCGCTGCTTCTTGCTAATACGCGAATCGATGGTATTGCTAATACTCTTGACCTGCAATACGGCCGGAGTACGTGTAGCCATTGCCACCTCCAGTTGCTGCTTGAACTCTTCGTGACTTATGAGCTTTGGCTTTTCTGCAGAATCATCTACGTTGGCCACATACAGCGCATTGGCCAGCAATGTGTCAGCTGTTAGTTTCAATGGCGGCGAAGGTTTCTCATCATAGACGGGACTCGAATATATGTGGCTCTGACTATCCAAATTCTGACGTGTATCCTGTTGTTCTCGCTGCTGATCTGGCTGTTGCGGATGCTGTTGGAGCGTCGCTTTTTGTGAATTAGTCAAGCTGCCGCCGACATTGTTCTGCTCAATTGTATTCCCCATCTGCAACAAATCCTCTCGATTAAAACTGCGATCCACAATTGTATCCATACTGCCAGTTGTTGAGTCGTGCGAGTCTATGGTGCGTGCCGGTGATGCCGAGTGGCGACCATTAAAGTGTTCGTTGCTGCTAACCATCGCCTGTTGCATATTGCGGTTGTTTCTTGCAGCCGTGCTGATTTCACGGGTACATTGGTGCTGAGCTGCAGATGGAAGTTTGAGCTAATATAAAATATATTACTTAATATTTTCCAAGTGTATACGAAAAAAAAACATTGGTCTTTCAACAAGTAAGACAGACGACAAAGAGATACCGATCGTTCTACGTTTTAATATATACTCTTGAGCTTGTTTTTAGCATAAACTTGTACAAAAAATTTCAAGCTCACACTTTTGTACTCAAAAAATAATCGACATTAAGACACCTAGCTTCGAACCAACATTTCCTTGGCAATTGATGCGCATCCCTACTAACTCTTCCACTTCACTCCTTTAACAAGAATTTGCAAATGTAATATATTACATTAAAAGCAGCAGGTAACAATTCAATAAAACAAAAATAATTATCGATTTGATTAACAACAAACTTGATACATATGCGAGTACTTTAGACGTTTCCACAATTTAAATTCAAGTCTAACTCTAATAGGTAATGAGATCGACGCATTCATACTATACCATTGAGTCTGCCTGTCTATCTGTCCGTCCAATAGACAGGCAGACTCAATCGGCTAAGTCGACTCAGCTTCTCATCCTGATCAATACTAATACTATATTTTTATTATGAGGTCTGCGTCGCTGCCATCTGTCTATTACATGCGGTTTAACAACACCATTAATTCCCATTTTCAATTGGATCAGGGTATAAAAATGAAACCAGTAAAATTTGTCAACTCGTTCGCATTGCGACGGCTTCTCTGTTGTCATTTGCATTGTTGTTGCCTTGACATTTACTAGACCTCTAGATTTACTGTCATTCTAAACAACAGACCGGTTCACACTTGGTTGTAGGAAAAACAAAAACAAATCGAGACACTAGTTTTGTCTGTATTTTGATGGGGTGGATGGTGGGGGATGGGGTCTATTCGATGGAGGCCATAAAAAGCTGGCCAGACAGACCCTCATGCTACATAGCATAAGCATACACGAATTTGATATGCCAATTGTAGTCTTGCTATGAACACTATAATTATATAAATATATATATAAAAAGTCATATACTGTTTCTTAAAAAACTTGTACACACTGAAAAACATATATAATTTTTGACGTTAGATGGAAAATTAAGAACCTTTTATTCAAACTAACGGCATTTTTATGGTCAAACTGTTTAATAATTTTTTAAATTAAATAAAAACAGGTAACAAAACTAAAAAGGTTTAACAAAAATAAACAACAAAAAACTAAAAATACTCATTTTTTAAGCTGTCAAGAAATTGTTAACATAAAATACTTTGATCCTTCTTTTTGTTATATTTGGAAACCTCCTCTGAATTTCTACAAATTCTTTAAGCTTAAGTTGAAAATATTGCCAATATGGGACGAAGTTTGCATTTTTACTAAGCCGACAAAATATCCATAAAATATTTAGATCATACGCTGAAAATTTCATTAAAATCCGTTCAGTAAACCAAAAGTTATTACCTAAAAAAATGTTGGCCAATTTTCAAAACACGTGGAAAGCAGCGTGAAGCGCACGCATTTTGATCATTCTTAACTTAAAAAAGAAAACAAATCATGTTCATTTTAATATTTAACATGATACATGCTAGAGGTTTTATCTCATGGAATGGACCAACTTTATTAAGTATTGAACTGGAATCTTTTGCCAATCTTCAAGGATAGCAGCTTTTAACTGTGTCTGGTTCTGCGGATCCCGTTTTCTCATACTTTCCTTTCGGTAGACGTACTCATGTTCAATGGGGTTCACATCATGACTCTGGGGTTGGTATATGAATAAACTTGCCACAATTATAGAGGAGCCAAGTGCCTACGTTAATATCCAAAAGCTTCTTGATAGAATATAGAATTTGGTTCTTCTGGCACTTCTCTTTAAATTTATCTTTTAAAAGATGAACTCCAAACCATAAATGATGATTCTGGTTTCCAAGATAGTTAATAGTCATAATCTGGATGGAGCATTAATACGTGTTTACGGCCAAATTAAAGCATTTCTTTACATTTACTAATAAAAGCAGTGGTTTCTTTAGTGCAACACTTAAACAGTACCTATGCCGTACAATGGCATGTGTACTGTTTCATGTGACACATCTGCCACATTTTTTCCTAAAGTCCTTGGTTTACCCGACTGTAAATCTTTCTTTTACGCCATCCTGTGAACATTTCTTCAAGCCTGCATTCGTTTTCCGCACGACATGTACATTTTTTTCCTATATATTCAAAACCAACTTGTTATTATAATAAATCAATTGGAACACATCAAAGCTTAATCTCTTGCCAGGTATTCTAAAAATTAGAGTAATAATATTTCAGATTCACTTTAGATTCACTCAGTCGTTTGACCTGTAAAGACGTGTAACATAGAATTCGAACAGCCTTCGCTTAAGCTCTACTGCTGCATTTGCGGTGCATTCTTTAACGCAACCACAACAAAAACTGCACATGTGTTTTCTTATCGCTTGCTTCCGCGCTTGGCGCGAGTGCGTCTGCACTCAAGTGCAAATTCCGCGATGACATCTAATGTCAATGACCCCGCTGTAGCTGCAAAGGTAAATGCAGATATGCGAGCCTAGCTTAACGTTGTGATGGCCAACAGGCAAGCCTCCATCATCCCAATAAACTCTAAAATAGATATAGCCTCCGTGCAAGGCATCAACAACAACAAAAACACCAAACGAAAACAGCCAAATTCACCAAAAGCAATCAAGAAAAGGCTCTTCTTCGACGAACCAAGCACCAGCAAGGCAGCATCAATATCACAAAATCGCTGCTCGTAGAAGAAGATGAAGACTACAGTGAATTACCTGTAGCTCCAGAAGCCCCAGTTTTGACCGACCAGCAAATGACACCAAAGCCTCGTCCGCCGCCATATGGTGTCCAAACATCAAGTCTGTGGCCTTGCTGCAACAGATAATCGACAAAGTAATTGATGCTAAATCATACGTGATTAAACGAAAGAAGAATAATATAGGTGTATTAACCCAATGCAGTGAGAACTATCGCAGAGTAATAGACCACTTTACTAAGCTGGGCTTGGACTTCCACTGCTACCAGTTTAAGGAGGACAAGCCATATAGAGTCGTTTTCAAAGGGCTTCACTCCAGCACTGATATAACACTAATTAAAAATGAATTGGAAATCAAAGGCCACAAAATAACAAATGTGCACAACCCACTGAGCCGTACGGACAAAACACCGTTAAACATATTTTTTGTTGACGTGGCTCAGGCCCCCAACAACAACAAAATTTTGGACATACGAGTTGTCTGCAGGCAACGCTGCACAGTAGAACTCCCAAGAAGATTCAACGACTTGAAGCAATGTCATCGCTGTCAAGAATTTGGACACACACAACGCTACTGCCACAAAGCTCCCAGGTGTGTGCGTTGCGCCGGGAAACACGCACCCGCGAAAAGGACCAGGCATCAACTTGTGTACACTGTGAGTTACAGCACCCTACCAACTACAAGGGCTGCCAAGTATACAAGCAAAATTGCAATCTCCAGCACAAAAAAGCAGTCCCACACAAACAGCCATGCCATTAGCTTTGCAACGCCGATTAGTGGTGTTTCTTTCGCGCAGGTCGCTAGAGGTGGACCGTCAAATAAGAATCTCACAAGTGACACTTTGTTCACCGGAATCCTTCAGCAACAACAGCGCCAGTTTGACGCAATTAATGCCGAGCTCAAAGCGATGCGAGAATTACAATCCCAGCAGGCAAACATACTAACCAGTTTAATGGCTCTCATAACCAAGCTTGCCTCAAAATAATGGCTTTACGTGTGGGTATCCGGAACGCCAATGGCCTGAGAAACAAGACTCAGGAGTTGGCTGTGTTTCTCTCACAAGAATATATTGATATAATGTTAATAACAGAAACTCATGATTGCCCCACTACACAAATTTTCGGATTCGAACACTATCAGGCTCATGGTGAAGGAGCAAACTGCTTTGGTGGATCCTCAATTCTCATACGAGCAACAATACCACACACCTTTACTGCCAATTTCTAACACAACAATGCAGGTCTCAGTCATCACCCTGCCTACGTCTATTGAAGCGATCGAAGTTGCGTCAATTTATCTTCCGCCAAACACTGTGTGATCATCACATGGAACAGGTACTTGGCCAAAGGTTGAATAAGACCTTCATCGGCGGCGACTGGAATGGATGGCATCCATTTTGGGGAAGCAATAGTGCGAATCGTCGCGGAGAAGTCATTTTTGAGGCGATTCAAAACGTACATTTCAGCATACTGGCGACTGGAGCTTCCCACTTAATGGACACAGGCCCTCGGCAATCCCCATTAGGAAACAACTACTGCCGGCAGGATCAGATTTAGGAGTCTTTAGGCGCGAGCTTCATTACTCATTACATATAGAAATGGAACTTACACTCCTGAAGACGTGGATTACACAGCAAACAAACTGCAGAAAGAAATAGTCAAAGCTGCGCACCTAGCCGCCCTACCATCTTGCCAAACAAGACATCAGTCTGTGTACAACATCCCCCTCACCTTAGAGGCCCAAGACCTACTAATACACAAAAGATGGGCCAGGAGACGCTGGTTAAGATTACGCACGCCTAATGCCAAAGCCACCTACAACGAAGCCACGAGGCATCTCAAAGCTGATTTGGCTCTGCTTCAAAAGAGGTGTATCAGCGATGCGCTGGAACGAGATGAATCGCCCACTGACGCAGAATTGCAATTAGCGAAATTTACACGAAAGCTCAAACGGAGCATTCGGAGCATTTCTGGTTCCTGGCACATTGGAGACGAAGCTCAAGCTGATGCTTTTGCCAACCATCTTCAAGACTAATTCACCGCAGAGGCCTCAGAAATCAAAGCAACAGAAGACATCGTTCTCTCGCCCTTTCCAGCTGAAGACCAGATAGCTGGATGTACAAAAGAAGAGGTTCCAGAACACATCAAAAGAGAGAAGTCAAAAAAATTCCTGACTCCACCATAGACTACATAACTATGGTGTACAACACCATGCTTCGCATCCGGCACTTTCCAGCCTGCTGGAAGCGCGCCGTGATTGTGATGATTCCTAAGCCTGGCAAACCCGTGGGCGAAATTGCGTCGTACAGACCAATTAGCCTGTTGCCAGTACTCTCCAAAATATTCGAAAGAATATTTCTGAAACGAGTACTGTCACATCTGGGACGCCAGGAGGCCATTCCGAACCATCAGTTTGGCTTCAGGAGGCAGCAAGGTACACCGGAGCAGGTTCACAGAGTTGTGCACCATATCCTAGGAGCCTTCGAAGAAAAGATGTACTGCTCTGCCGTCTTTCTAGACATTAAACAGGCGTTTGATCGAGTTTGGCACCTAGGACTGCTGTAGAAAGTGAGGACCACCCTTCCAGCCCCATTTTTCACGTTGCTATCCTCATATCTGATTGGAAGAATCTTCCAAGTGTCAAAAGGGCAAGCAGTATCCTCGACTAGACCAATTATGGCTGAAGTCCCACAGGGTAGTGTTCTAGGCCCAACACTTTACATTTTATTCACTGGAGATATGCCAACTCCCGAGCCAAATATGGGAACTACTGATGCAGTACTCATAGCGACTTATGCAGACGACACCGCCACCTTATCACGTAACGTATCTGCGCAAGAAGCAAAAGCATACAAAAGCAAGCTAAAAACCCTCGATTGGATGCTGAGAGCCTCGAGCAAGTTGTCTTACAGCAGCAAGGCCGCCATCTACAAGGCAATAGTTGTCCCAACCTTCGTATCTGGTATCTCTCTATGGGGCTCCTCGGCGAAGACTTCAAGGAACAAAATTCAGATCCTGCAGAATAAAGCACTACGCAGATGGACTGGAGCCAGCTGGTTTGAAAATAACTCAGTTTTACATTGGGATTTAGAAATTCCCACAGTCGCTGAACTCACTGGGCGGCACAGTTCAAGATACGCGGACAGACTTGCAGCGCATCCTAACCATCTCGCAAGCAACCTTGCTATAAACAACAATAGGTGAAGACTTAAGAGATTGCATCCTCTAGATAATCTTAGAACTATTAAGGTTTAGAGCTAAATGCGCTGTAGAGTCTAAGACAATACGCTGCAA